TGCCTGCCTCCCAGCGGCACTGGGGCGGCGGGCAGGCGACGCTGGCTCCTGATCCGCGAGGGGGCAGAGGCAGCGACTACCCAAACGACGGCTGCAGACGCTTCGCTGAGACTGAGCAGAGAAGAGCCGAATCATCGGAAGGAAAGCTGCTCTCACCTCAGCCAATCAGCGCCTGCCCTAGGGACTTCCGCCCGCCTCTCCCTTGCCTCTCCCCAGCAACCCGCAAACCTCAGCCAATCAGGAAATTTGCTTGCTCTTTGACCCGCCTCAGGGATGCAACACGCCTAGTAACGCCACGTCAATTGGCCGTAACGCTATGCTTCCTCGACGGATTGAGATTATCGACCAATCAACGAAAGGAATAGGGCCAGACCGACTGGTGAACGGAGAGCCTTTAATCCCGTGGAGGTGGACTCTCCCACTTGGCTCCAGTTCATTGGCTCTTGAGTTAATACTCCTGGCAGAACCTGGCACAATGGGCTGAACCCTTAATATTAGTCTAGTTGTTTTAATGATAACCTACTCACCCATCTTCTCCCAAAACTTTGGGACCCTGTAAGACCCCATCACGACCTTAACTCTTCTTACCTCTTTCAAAACCCTGGCTCCTGACACTTTTACTCTGGATCCTCTGACTAGCACCTCAGCTCTAGATTTATCTTACTCTATTGTCAACCAAAACACCAGTAACCCAAACACCAAGGGTTCTGCAATTTCTCAGTGCTTGGGGTACATGCTTCCCTTACTGTAGGATACTGATATTAGTGACTGGATGATGAAGGCACCCAAACCCAGGTGAAAGGGTAACCACTGCAGATTCAATAGGAGCAAAAAAGCCGTTGCTTGGAACTTGAAGGCCTGGACCCCAAATGATAGCTGGCCCTGACTAGTCAACAGGCAAGGGGGCATGCTGACTCAATTTATTCTTCACCCTGTAACCATACAAACATATTTGAGAGTTTCATTTCTAGAATCTGAGGTTAGAGAGAAGGTGGGAAGTTACTCTGGGACTCCAAGATCTTCTTGTCCCTCCTCTCTAAGAATCAAGTACAACCCTTGTCCTGAGAAGCATCTAGACCACCCTCCAGACTCAACTCCATTCACTCAAGTCACTAGCACAGGATCCTAGGTTTGTTTTTAAGCAATGGGAAGGATTAAGCCACTGTTTCCTAAATAAGGATTCCTATGGCCCTTTTCCCTTATACCCAGACCTCAAGTTTATCAAGTAGATGACAGTGGAAGAGCATTTTAGACAACCAACACTCATCTAGGCAGCCATGAGCCTTCCCAATCAGTATATTTAGTAGGCAGACAAGATATAAGTATTAGATTTTACTCAGCAGAAGAAAAGGGGAAATGGAGGGGGAAAGGGTGCCATGAACAAAGTCAATGACTTGGTGGCAGGGAGTGCTTCCTTCAGAACCAGAATGGTAGTAACTAGGACATCACAGGACTACCACCAGCCTGACCAGTGCAGGAGTTATGTAGGACTGGTCAGCTCTGATCACATTCCTCAAGGAGGGTTAAGCAAAAAGCCTTCCCCACTTAGAGAGGACCACTGAAGGCCCAGCTCAAGCTCTTGGAAACATGGCTACAGGTCATGAGGCTCCAGCAGAGATGTCCGAAACTCTTCAAGGAGAGTTTCACGATCAGACGGATGGATCCAACTCAAATAGGTTTCTAGGTACAGGGGGAGAGACCTGGAGAGGAAGAAGGGTGAAGCCTAAGTGAAAGATTGACAGAAGGCTGGGTATCCATTCCCTCCCTTTCATTTCTCACCACCCCCAAAAGGCCTGAGGATCCAACTATCTTTCAGTCTCAAGACAGCAGACCTCAGTCTCACCATGTAGCATCTTCCTGTGGCAGCTTAGTTTGGGCCTCCAGCCTCCGCCATAGAGCAATGGCCTCATCCCTCCGATCCAGCCTCTTTAGGGTCTGAAGCAGGTGAAAGGAAGCATCTTGATTACCTGTAGCCCCAACCCAGAGTACAGAACATTAGAATTTGACATAGCCTTAAGCATGGGGGAAGCATGGGGAAACTGAGGTCTATAGAGATGAATCTTACCTACACTTAGATATAGAACCAGAGGGAGATCACTGACAACCATTCCTATCTCAGAGTCTATCACCTGTCCAATACGAAGGGCTCAGCTGGTTCTGCTTCTCCATAACCCATTCCCAGTGTAGTCACAGTCTTTGAGGACATTGGGGGAGAACAGGGAACTCTTGGGGGCTCTGCATACACACTTACATATGCTTGTATGTGTTTTGAGTATATATAGCACAACCTCATTCACCGCTCCCATCTGGGAACACCATCCTTATACTTTTGCCCAGTTACCACCCCCTGGATTTCTCTGTCCTTGCACATGTGGGCATAGCTGATATCATGCATGTGTACATACTTGGGTACATCTGGAGACTGAGGAGGAAGTCCTGCAGGGCTCTGGTATCCTGGCCACTGGCTACCCATTCCAGTCCACGACTAATCAGGGCGGCTGCCCGAAGCTGTTGCCGGATCACATCTGACCTACACCTCTGCTCACAGCTGGAAGATGCCCCTGGGGACCACCGCCAAAGTCAACAAGCATCTTTACAGTCACACAATCACAAAAACCCAAGTCCCCCTCTCTCTTCTTGAGTCTAGAGCCCCTCTCTCTTGTCTCTTGGTAAGCTGAGACACATAGAAAGGGGACCCACTTCTACTACCACTACTTCCAGGAGGTGACAGGAAAACTGAAAGTCTAGATCACCTTTTTCTTTGTTCTCAGGTGTGACCCGGAAGAGCAGCTCAAGGCACCTGAAGTGGGACACAGAGCAGGGATGAAGAGGAATCAATCTCAGATACTCTGTTGTGAGTAGGTGAGAACGGAGCATACCAACTCAGGTCCTAATCAGAAAACCATTCCTCCACACCTCCCCCAGGATCCTGGATGGCCTTTGGGGCTTACCGGCTAAATTCACTAATTGCTTCTTTGTGGGCTCCCAGATGTACCCAGGCCTGACCCTGAAGCAGGTGGGTGGAAGGAATCCAGAGTGGGCAGTGTGGTGGTTCCCTGCTTCCTTTTCTGGCATCGTTCCACAGACCGGACATCTTGGGAAGCAGAGGTGACGTGCGGCTGAGAAGCTCTTCACATACAGTCAAAGCATCCTGGGCTCGGCCAGCCTGAATCAGTGCTGCTGCTGCCTCCAGGAACACCTCAGGCATACAGGGCCCTGGGGGGCCGGGGAGTGGGGAGGACTAGGGTGTGAACAGGATGCAGTGTCTTGAAGAGGCATCTACCATCTCCATCTCCAACCTACCTCCCTCCCTCCCTCCCTCCCTTCCTTCCTAAGATTTTTGCCACAGGGTGCATGTGCCAGAGACAGAAAGAGGGAAAATGAAAAATCACCCTCCAGGGTGGTTGGCCACATTGCATTCCCTTCAGCTCCATTCTCCTCTTAGGATTTTGGGCACAGGCATACATACACCCAGTGTGTTTTTCAAGCCAGTGAGTCTGGGGCTCCAACTATTCAGTAGGTCATGTGGGATTCATGCCACCTACTGGCCCAACCATTCCCAAACTCTTTACCACGCCTCTAGTACCAGACAGAAACCTGGTCCCTGAAAATTACTGAAGGAATAGAGGGGAAACCAGAAAATAACAAAGTAGCAGTCCTGCTCTGCTCCAAAGAGGATCTGAGCCTTCTTGCCCCCTTATAGAGAACCTTGAAGACACACCTACCCTTGGTTCTGAGTTATCCACCAACAGGGCCAGCAGGTCCAAGTAATGCTCTGCAGCGTTTTCTGCCCTGAGGAGTCATAACTCATGAACATTCTAGCAGGGCCCTCCAAGGGTTCCAGTGAGAATGATCTCTCTTAGCTAATTAAGGAATGTTCATGAGCCAAGAGGGATAGGGTGGAGGAGGAGGTCTTGGGATTCTGACCCTGGCTCAGTATGAATCTACCTGAGTTACAGAATAGATCAGGAAAGAAATTATACAGTTTCAAAGACAGAGAAGGTCAGTGTCTAGATGAAGAATCCTCAGTTCTACCAGCAAGGCAGGAGGCTAAGGAGTAGGGACCTATACCCTGCCACTTCCTTGTTTATCCCTTAACTCAAGAGAACAAAGGCAGAGTAATACCCAAGGAAAGGCATCAGAAGTGGGAAGAGGAACTCCGATGAGCAAGGGGACCCTCACCTTCCCATCTGTAGGCATCGGCTTGCTAGCAGGTACTTGGCCTGGCTCTGTGAGCCACAGTAAAGGGGTGAGGCTGGGTCAGGTTGTGGGAGTAGCAATTCTACCTCAATGAGAAGCTGAGGGGCTTTAGAGCTGTGGGTGACACTCAAGGCCTAAAAGAGAAAGAAGGAAGAAAGCATATGCATAATCTCTGAGAGTGACATTTCCTTATACTTATACTTGGCTAGTCACTAAAATACAAGCAACTCAGTAGTCCTCCACCTTGTATCTTCATCTGGCAGTTCCTTACCTCAACCAGCAGCTCAAGACTCTCCAGCTCTGCTGTTGTGTTCTCCAGTTGCTGATATAATCTGGAGGCCTCTAGAAGAGGGGGACCCAAGACTGATCCCCCTTTCAAGGCTTCAACCAAGTACAGCAGTGCTCTCTGTGGATTCCCCTAGATAGATGGGAGGACACAGGCTTTAGCTACCCTCAGAAAGCAGAAAGCGGTCCCTAATGCCCACAGTTAAGAGTCTCTTTACCATCTTACGGAGACAGGTCCCCAGCGCTGTGTACACCTGGACCAACACGGGCCGTGGACACAGACCTGAGGCTGCTTCATGGAGGTGGCTCAGTGCCCTGGGCAGATTCCCTCTGATCAGCTCCTGGAGGCCTAAGGACAACTGGATATAAGCTTAGGGCAGGGGACATGATGAAAAACAAGAAGTTCCATGGAACTGATTGAGAGATGACTGCTGGATTCGACCATCAACCATGGTTCGAGTCTTAGACCCAGTGATTTAAAACTCACGCCAGACACATGTGCGAGCATGCCCAAAATCCAGAGAAGAAAACGAACAAGGGATTGTGGCATGGCCATCCCCCTGGGGGGGTGGGGGGGAGGTGATTTCACGCTGTCTTTCCAGTGAGTCCACAGACTCTATAGGAAAAATCTCTCTTAAAAAAAATCTAAAATAGGGAACCAGCGGTTAGCGTAATGGCTATGTCGCTGGCCTCCCACGTAGTCGACCGCGGTGCGTGTCCCGGACCTGGTGGCTTAAAACTCACGCCGGGCGCGTGTGCGTGCGTGCCCAAGATCCCGAGAGGAGAATGGAGGAGAAGGGATTGCAGCGTGACCATCCCCCCTGGGGGGTGATTTCTCGCTTTCTGTCTCTATGTCTCTCTCTGTCTGTCTGGCGAGCGCACGCGCCCTGTAGCGAAAAAAAAAAAAACTCAAAAAAATAAAAAATAAAAAACTAAAATAAAAAAGGCTGAATAAGGTTGCTAGCTGACCTTGGCGATAGGCAAATGCTGTCAGAAGGACATCCTTTAAGTTCCGGGCATCCTGCAAGGTCAGTGGGGCATCCGATTCTTCAACCAGAGGGCTCCAAGTCTTTAGAAGCAGCAGCAGATCCTCAGAAGCCCCACGCTGGGAAGGGAAAGACAACCAGAGGCTCTAAGCCTGGAACCACCCTCTCTTCTTCTTAGTCTGTTCTCATCGGCTGGACTTTGAGCTCAGGGGTTCTCCTAATTTCTGCTCCCCCAATTCTAATAGCTGTGGCACAAGGGTAAAGGGAGGAAGAACACTGTGGGGCAATGATGATCTTAGTCCTCACTTGGGATTAAGCCTATGGGGACATGGAGCAAGGACCAGGTTTGGGTGAACAATGAGAAGATGGAGGCTGTAGGTGACTTCAGCAAGATCAGGGGAGTCCTGAATTCATTAAACTTGAAGTACATTTATGTGTGTGTGTGTGTGTGTGTGTGTGTACACACAAACATATACACTCCGAAGGGAATCTTCCCAATAAGGGACAACCTAGAACAAGGTCACCAAGAGTTTCTGAGATAACCCATGTTTTCGCCCTTTTTTTTTCCCCTAGGCTTTGCCATAGGGCACATGCACTTACTAGAGAGAGACAAAGAGACAGTGAGAGGAAAAGTGAGAAATCACTACCACCACCATGACCACCACCCTCAGTCAGGAGGATGGCCACCTTTCTCCTCCTGACATTTTAGTCATGCACGCCAAGCACATAGTGTGATATTTTTTTTTTGAGAGTTGTTTTTTTTTTTTTTTTCTATAGGGCCCGTGCACTCGCCAGACAGAGAGAGACATAGAGACAGAAAGCGAGAAATCACCCCCCCCAGGGGGGATGGTCATGCCGCAATCCCTTCTCCTCCATTCTCCTCTTGGGATCTTGGGCACGCACGCACACACGCCCGGTGTGACTTTCAGCCAACAGGTCCAGGACGCGAACTGTGGTCAACTACGTGGAAGTCCAGCGACATAGCCATTATGCTAACTGCTGGTTCTCGCACCCAGTGTGATTTTCAAGCCACCAGGTCTGAGACTCAAACCGCAGTAGGTCATGTGGGAGTCTAGTGCCTTAACCAACACACCACAGCTGGCCCTGAGAGCCCAGGTTTTCTAACCACCAACTCAGCAGTCTTTCCAGTGAGGATGTTATTGCAGCTTGGGGAAAGGGAGGAAGGATGACACTCTCTGCTCCAGGTCACTTCCCCTATTACCTGGCTGCCATTCAGGGTCTGCAGCAGCAAGGCCAGGTCTCCAAGACGGTCATTGCTCAGCCAGAAGGCAGCCTGCAGCCCAGCCAGGTGGTGCAGGGCAGGGAGCAGCTCCGGCAGAAGGGAGGAAGCATGGAGGACAGAATCCCACATCTTCCCGAGCCCCTGTTCCAACCAGGGCTCTGGATGCTCCTGGGTCTCCAGCACTACAAAGTACACATACATGTATACACACACACACACAAACATGCTGCTGAGGGAGGACTTCATCCCCCATTTCCCCCACACTCTGGCTTTCCTCTTCTGCAGGAGTCCAAAGTTCACAGCAATAATACTTGGTCTTAGTACATGGAGGATCAGAGAGGTCATCTCTCTCCATGGAGGTGACTGGCTTTATTTCTCCTCCCAACTCCCTACTAGGGCTTAAATCCAGCCTGACGCCGACGGGGACACAGGAGGCACTCTCTAGGCCTTACCTCTCTCCAGGCCCTGTTGGATATCTTGGGCCTGGTCTTCAGTGAAATGTTGTGCCAGGCTTGCCTTCAGGATAATGAAGTTGCACAAGACGGTCAGCTCCAAGGGAAGAACAGGGATAGCTGCAGGAAGCCCTAGAGCAACAAATACTGGTCTCACAGAGCACTCGTCTGTGAGAGATTCCCCTGATGACACCCCAACCCAGTGATCACTCCACCACAAACCAAATGGCCTCAATGTCCTTTGGATACAGTCTGAAAAGAGCAGAAAGTTCTTCAGATAAGGACATCCTAGAAACCACTTCTTCAAATGCCGCAAAGTGTGTGTGTGTATTTAAGGAGGAGGATCTACCTACACAAAGACAATTCCACCCCGGTCCCCTCTGTGTCTTAAACAAGACTACTTGCCTGCTGAGTTATCACCTCGACTCCAAAATATAGAAGGAACTGATTGCTGGCTGCGGAGAAGGGGAACTGATGGTCCTAGGGAGGACCCTGCTTACCTTGCAGACTATGGAGCAGCCCCCTCAGCCCTTCCAGTGTGTCTTGTGCCAATTGCTGTCGCTTCGGAAACAGACTGGAGGCCTGAGCTACCTGCCAAATGTCAGAGGTGTCACTGAGGATCAGTTCTTTTCTGTCCCCTTGAAGCAGGGGTGAAGGATGCATTCTCCAACTATTCCTGGCTTTCTGGAGGAGGTCAAATTCAGCCCTTCCCCGTGAGCTGGGGTAAATAAACTGCACACCCATTTTCTGGAAAAAATTTAAGTTTATTTCTCCCATGAGTGAGACAGGAAGAGAGAGAGTGAGAGAGAGAGAGACAACAATCCCAACAGGTTGTTTGCTTTTTTAAGATTTATTATTTAATTTGACCAGAGAGAGAGACAGAAAGAGAAAGATGGAAAATGAGAAAGCAAGTTGCCAGTCCCAGAACTCGAATGGACCACGTGGGTGTCCAGTGCCCCAACCAACTGGCCACCTGCCGGTCCCCAACAAGGTTTTGATCCTGGATTCACCCCATGCATCAGTCATACTCGGATCATGGGAACTTGGCTCAGGTCTCTGGATGTGAATTTGAAACCTTGCCACATAGGTCAGCCTCACAAAGAATCCCATTTTACCTCTGTGCCACCCCCTTATCCCTTTTCTGGACTCGGGCTGCAAAGCGAGAGTCCCAGCCACCGTTACCTTGACCTGCCCAACGAGCTGATCATTCTTTTCCCGCCACAAGTCCAGGCAGCTGGCTGGTGACGCTGAGTCCAGAGGGGTCTGGTGGGACATGGTGGCTAAGGCTGAGCCCAGACACCCAGAGGTGGCTTCCGTAAAGGTTAAGCCTGGCCCCAGAGAAGCCTCAACCCTGGCGGGGAGATGCCTGTACACTTCCGCACCCCGCCTGGCTCCCTTGCTTCACTCAGGGTCCCCGCCCGG